AAATGTATTCCTAATTACATTCTAATGTACATTCAATCCCCTCTACCCTAAATGGTCCTACACTACATGACCTAAAATACAAGGTCAAAAATAAACTAGACCATAATTCATAAAATAAAAAAGATAAAGCAAATGAGACCAATATTGGCTATGTAAAGCCTATGGTCAAAAACGCCCAAAATACAAGGCAAAATGAATACAAAGAATTAAACCTATCCTATATACATTGTTGCCTCAAAATGTGGTGGTCCATGAGAATAGTAGCTTGGGCTTAGAAAACCCACTATCCTCTCCCTCGTGAATGCTCTTGGTCATAGCTCTAGTAATTGGGTCTATGGCCCATGGTCTTCCATCACAAAAAGAGTAATAATCCTAGTAATAGTTCTCATGAATGTATTTTTCATCATAGTCAAACTTTACCTCATCTTGAAGAAGGTAGCCTTCACATGAGTGATTACTACCAACCTGACATTAATAATCCCAAACCTAAGAGAGCATAAGTTTAGGGAATCCAAAATAGATTTCCCTCCCTTCCATGGAAGGATGATATGGAAGCACACCTAGATTGGGACATGAAAGTAAAATAACTTGTTTCTTTCCACAATGTAAGAGAAGAGAAAAAATTTCCTTTGGCAACCCTTAGCTTCCAAGGATATGCCATGTATTGGTGGACCTCTTTAGAAAGAGAGAAAAAACTTTGCGATGAGCCTAAGATCAATTATTGGAATGACCTTAAGAGTTCCATAAGAAAAAATTGTACAAATATGCAGAATAATAGTTTTATGAATTGATTATCAATGTTTGTATACATATCTTATATAATAGTGAGAAAGGTTGTTTTTAACAACCATATCAAAAAGTACTGGAATATAAATTGATGTTACAATAAAATATAAGATTTGGTTAACGGATTAGCTAATCAATAAGATTTGATTAGCTGATTAACTAATCACGCCAACACGTCCCCGCAAGATGGTGGTGGAGGAAGCAACACCAATCTTGGATGTTAGCCACTGGTCTTTGGTAGAATTGAGAGGCTTGGTGAGGAGATTTCCTAGTTGGTGGCTGAAAGGAACATGAGAAACATTGAGCTCCTTCTTGTTGACCAAGTCTTGAACAAAATGATAATCAATGGCGATATGCTTCATACGAGAGTGGAAAATGGGATTGGCACAGAGGTATGTAGCTCCAATGTTGTTAGAGTAAATATGTAGGTTACCTGAGAGTGGCAAATGAAGTTCCTTAAACAGTTCATGAAACCAAAGAAGTTCAGCTGTGGTTGACCCTCTTATTTTGGAGGAGAGTTTATGGATAAGCTCCGAAGACTTCATCAAAAGAAGATGAGTGTAGAGAAGTATAGACAAAAGATGGAGTTGTACATGTTGAGGGAAAGTATAAAGGAGGATTAAATAACCACCATTGTTAGGTTTCTTAGTGGCTTGAACATTAAATTTAGAGACAAAGTTGAGCTATTATCATATAGGGACCTTAAGGACTTGGTGCATCAAGGTAGCACAATAATTATTAAGGAAAACTTACCTCAAGAACCATAGAAAGAACCATGGAGAAAAGGAGTACTCATATAAGAGTAACTCCAAAAGTGAGTCACCAAAGGAAAGGAAGGATAAAGGACAAATCTCTCTAAAGACATATATTCCTAAATTAAACGTTTTAAGTGTCTTGGGAGTGGTTATATTGTCTCTAAATGTCCCATTAAAATGACCATGATCCTAAGGGCAAGGATCATTATAGTTGTCAAGTGGAGGCTACATCTTTTTCCTCCACCTCTAGTGGTAGTGAAGAAGAAAATGGTAAGTTCTAGAGGAGAGGAAACATATCCTTCTGATGGTGAGCTCTTATTCATTAGAAGACTTCTTGAAAGTCATCCTTGTGAAATTAACACTTCATAAAAAGAAAACATCTTTCATACAAGATGTAAAATTTCAGAACAAACTTGTTCTCTTATTGTTGATTGTAGCTCAAGTTCAAACTATTGGAGTACAAGGTTGCTTATTAAGTTAGCTCTCACTACCACTCCTCATCCTAAACCTTACAAGCTTCAATGGCTTAATGAAAAAAAGATACAAGAAAAAGAAAATGATATGTACCCAAAGTTATTCATAGGAGCAAAACACTGAACATTTAGCGTGCACTCATATAATAGCTAGTTGAGCTTGTGAGGTCGTGTTTTAATTGGAAACTTGATTCTCAGGATAAAAAAATGAATGAATATACATAAAGCATTATGAAATTTATTTGGTTTGAGTTAGAGAGCACACTAATTAGAATACAGTTATACGACGCCTCTTTCTTTTTCAGTTTCATTTAGTATCCTTTTAGATTGAGAAAAACAAAAGAAAATAGGTATCTAATAAAAATTTTCATCTAAATTATGGAAACAATTTAGACAACATAAGAGTCAAACTTGTGCCCATTTAGATATAGAAAACTTTTTTACCACTACACCATCTCACTAAATCGATATATGTTATGATTGAAATAGTTTATATATATAAAGTTTTGGAGATTTTAAATTTTATTAAAATTTCTTTTATGAAATAGATGATATAAATAATTTTTTTTAAAGAAAATTAGTATAAACCGAGTTACCAACACGACTTCTAACACATTGATCCAATACTCCAACCAATTTAATAATCATTCTAGTTTTTAAAACATTGATACCAACTCTACTAATCACGGTTTTGCGGTTTTCTCGTGTAGTGATCAATATATGCACATTGAAAAGCATTCATGGAGATTTCATCAATTATATTAAAATGATAATGTGGGTATATCAACTTCCACTCGCAGTTATATATTATATATATGTAGAAAGGTAGGCAAAAAGACATAACTGTGGAAATTCTCTCTTGGAATTCACTTTGCAACGCCACAAACATAGGCCTTACTTTTTCGAAGATGATTGAACCAATAGGATTCAGGGTTGGTTCAGGTCTAGTTCTCATTTTGAATTTATTGGAAGTAAAATAAATAGCATGTTCTGTAATGTAATTATTAATGAAAAACGATACAATAAACTATAAAATTAATCCAAGAAGTTGGTTGACCCATTAGACATTAAAACGTCCACCTCGTATTTTGTAACGAGTTTATTATATATAGAAAGAATGATTCAAATGACATCGATATAATTTTTATTAAATATTATATTGTGCAATAATTTTATATTAAATGTGAATTTTATAAGTCCAATAGTTGAATTATAACTTCATGGTTAAAACCCTTATTTGGTTCCTTATAATATTTTTTTGTTTCAATTTAGTCTCACTTTAATTTTTGGTTTCAATTTGGTCTCCAATAATTTAAATTATTGTAATTTGGGACTTCCGTCCAAATGATTTAAACGGAGTTAACTGTTGGCCACGTGGATGTCAGGTGGATGTCACATAGATGCATAGGTGGATGCCAAATTTCATGAACATCTGGATCTAGAACGGCCCGTTCTGAAACCAGAACGGTCCGTTCTGCTTGCACATGTTATGCGTTAATTTTGCAATTGGAACGGACCGTTCCAAATGCAAATTTAACACACTATGAGTGCAGCAGAACGGGCCGTTCTGAAACCAGAACGGGCCGTTCTGAAACCAGAACGGCCCGTTCTAGGTACAAAATTAACACACCAAGAGTGCAACTAGAACAGACCATTCTGGTTTCAGAACGGGCCGTTCTGGTTCCAGGTGTATTCAAGAAATTTGACATCCACCTATGCATCTACGTGACATCTACAACTCCGTTTAAATCATTTGGATGGAAGTCTCAAATTGCAATAATTTTAATTATTGGGGACCAAATTGAAACAAAAAATTAAAGTGGGACTAAATTGAAACAAAAAAATATTATAAGGGACCAAATAAGGGTTTTAACCTAACTTCATATATATATATATTGGAGGGATCAGTTTACTCTAGGAGTAAGTCTACCTAGACTTATTCCGTTCAATAACTCATGTTCTATATCAAATTTCAATGATCCAACCGTTGAATTTAAAGTTCTTAATGCATAGATCAAGTCTGCAATTTTTTTTTAAAATTTCAAAATCATTTGATACTTCATTTCATTAATTCAAATTAACGGATAATCATAAAACTATTTTTACGCATTGATTTGAATTAATAAAATGAAGTATATATATATATATATATATATGGGGATGGATCTGTTTCCTTTAGGAATAAGTCTACCTAGACTTATTAAATCATGCTCTATATAAAATCTCAACGATCCAACCGTTGAATTTAAAGTTCTTAATGCATAGATCAAATATGCAAATTTTTAAAAAGTTTAAGAATTATTTGATACTTTGTTTCATTAATTCAAATTGACGGATAACATTATAGAGTTTGACTTATTGAACAGAGTAAGTCTTAAGTAGATTTATATATATATATATATATAATTATCAATTAATTATAAATTAAATTAAATTAAATTTTTGATCTTTATATTTTTGTCAATTCACAATTTTGGTACTCCTATTTTAAAATAGAAAAATTCTATTTTTTTAATTTTAAAATACAAAAATTTGTCTTAACAAATTGACAACAATTAATTGTAAAACTTAAATGTGACATTGAAGGACATGACATTTGAAAATAAAAAGAATATGTAAATAAAATTTATATTAATACATTATTTTCTTAATTTTTATTTTTAACTATCATATCATTAAATATCACATCATTTAAATGATTAATTATAAGTCATTAAATAATATTAAAATTTAACAATAAATATCAAATTAACGGTGAGAGAATTCCATATTTTTGAAAAGAAAGTGACTAAATTTTAAAATAAAGGACCAAATTTAGGATTAATAAAAATAAGAAGAGTAAAAGTAATTTAACTTGAACATTATTCATGTTATCACTGTTGATTGAATCAAGGTTTTTCTTAGCTAAAAGTCAAGAAATCTACAGAAGTGACCGATCTCACGGCACGCAACATATATTCTTTGCGGTACACAAAAATTCTTTAATCAAGGTATATGTAATGTTAGTCTGTGATTGAATGATATGTTAAAAAAAAAAAAATACACTTTCATTTTACAAACACTATATCCTCATAATACAATCATAATATTATCGTTGCATTAGATAATGAATATTGGAATGCAAAAATAGGAGATTGAATGATATTACAAGTTGAATTTAATTGAAATATATTTCCGGGTATAAAGATTTTTCACTCTATCAATCAATCCTCGAAAATTTACGACTTTAAAAATCGATATCATTTTATTTAGTTAAATCACATTTTAAAAAATATTACACCGAAAATCTGTGAAAATAAAATTCTAATGTTAACTTAGTTATTTACTTTCTGGCTTGAATTTATCTTGAATCAGCAGAGAAGATGATATATGAGAAAGGTACTCCTTCAAATTCCCCATTTCTTGTGCCACATCAAGCATGCTTGGTCTTGTTGAAGGATTAGGGTGTGTGCACAGAAGCCCCAACTCTATGAGTTCCAACATAACATCTTGCCCAATTTTGTGGCAGTGACTAGGAATGTCAGAAGGAGAAAACCTTTGCAATGCTTGTTCAACAATGTTACAAAGCTGGAGCGGATATTGTCTCTTAACCCACTCATGCAAACAAGACCCTTCATGGACAAGGACCTCTGTTGGGCGTCTACCTGTCACTATTTCTAGCACTAGTACACCAAAACTGTAAACATCACCTTGAGTTGATGCATGTTTTCCCATTCCATACTCTAACAAAATGAAAAGACAAGGAAATTGTTAGATTTAAGGAACATAACTTTTTTAAATAGCAGTTTTGAAACAGAAAATACACGCTGTATGTTGTATGTTTTAAATTAGCTTACAATACTTTGAAGAATACATCCATAAAAAATGTATTTTTTCATGTTTTGTCAAGGTATAACAAATTTTATTCTTAGGTATAGAATATTTCTAAAAATGAAATAACTTTAATATTTCTGTTTTTATTCCCACCAAAATAGTGGGTAAGTTGATTTTTATGATGTGATCATTAAATTTTTATTTATTTATTTTAACTTCGGTCACACTCACTTTCAGAAAAAAAAAAAAAAACATTCTCATAATTAGTCAAAGACTTTTTTTTTTTAAATACCCGTGAATGTTGTTGTCACCGTACGTTGAAAATGAAAGTTGATAACTTCAAAACAATAACTAATGTACATGGGACGCCTAAACATACTCTACTTACCGTTCTTCTTAAGATCAATTCAGCAAAGGGTTTAACGGAAAAATTATATTATGTTGTATAAAGCACTGCAAATTGAATAATCTTTTAATCTAAGGGAGAAAAGGATAGTAATTAGAAATTAATTGGGGTCTTGTGAAGCCTGATAATGGCAATGTCTCATAAAAAGTCATTTCCAAGTAAATTATATGAACCGAGTGCCTAAAAATTGTTCAGATTTAAAATTACTATGTCATAATGTAAAAATATTTGGCCAAAGTACATACCAGGAGCTATGTAGCCAACGGAGCCACATAACAAGCCATGTGTTGAACTGAAAGATGAGTCACTTGTGGGGATGTTGTTGTCACCTTTTACAAGCCTAGCAATACCAAAATCAGTTACCAAAGCTGTCAAATCGTCATCAAGTAGTATATTGCTCGGCTTAAGATCACAGTGCACTACTCTAACTGGAGAATAGTGGTGTAAATAGGCCATTCCTTCAGCTACATCGCTGCATATCCTCACCAACTGAACCATATCCAATCTTTGGCTCAATCCATGTCTCGGATATAAGTGCCTCTCAAGACTACCATTTGGCATCAGTGGAAGAACAAGAGCCTTAAACTCTTTTTTGCTGCAAATTGTGATGATCCTTATTAAATTCCTGTGCCTGGTCCTCTTCAGGATTTGGCATTCCCTTCTAAAGCTCCCTGAAATCTCACCAGCTGTTGTTGTGTCTAACACCTTCACTGCTATTCTTGTGTTATCTCCAAGAACACCTTCGTAGACTTGTCCAAACCGACCAGAACCAATTAGGCTTGAAGCACTAAAGCCTCCTGTGGCTTCAATAAGTTGTTTATATGAAATTCTGGGGTACTTGAGCTCCTTTGTTTCCTCATCTTCATCCTCAAAATCCCCTTTGCTAACTTTAGCCAATTGCATTCTTTCTTTTGACATTTTTATTGTGGGGTACCCCAGCATGCACAGAAGGGGGGTGGCAAATAGTAACAACGGAATTAGTAGGAGAACCAAATGATACCTTCGTTTCTTGTGGCAGTTTTGCATGCCTTTAACCGAGCCACATAGACCATCATTTCCTAGGAAAGAGTTTATGGTCAAAGATGAAAAGGCTCCCTTGCTGGAGACACTCCCTGAGAATTTGTTGAAAGAGAAATTAAGTTTCTTGAGGGTGGACAACTGAAGGGAATCTGGTATTATCCCTGTCAATTGATTTGAAGACACATCAAGTGCTTGAATATAAGGCAATTTGCCCAATGAATCCGGGAGAGGGCCTTCTAAGGAATTACCAGAAAGGTTGAGGTACTCTAATGCTATGCAACTTTCAAGCTGTGGTGGGATTCTGCCAGAAAGATTGTTCATTGATAGGTCAATAGCCAGCACCATGTCCATTTTGGAGAACTCTAATGGTAAAGGTCCATCTAAGTTATTACTTGATAAATTCAAGTATAGTTTCAAGCTAGTCAAGGCTGCAACTTCCTTAGGGATCAGTCCTGAAATCTTGTTGTGGGATAGGTCCAAAATCTCCAAATTTACACATTTTCCCAGACTTGGTGGGATGTTTCCAGAAAGCTGATTGTCATAAAGTAAAAGCCTTCTTAACTGGGTGAGGTTAGCAAAAGTGTCTGGTATTGAACCAGAAAGCTTGTTTCTTGACAAGTCAAGTAGCCCCATATGCTGAATGTCACCAAGGGTTGAAGGAATCTCACCTGATAGTGAATTATTTGACAAGTAAATCCTCTCTAGCCTCCCCATCTGGCTGAGGCTGGGAGGTATTGATCCATTTAGCAAGTTGCTGGAGAAGTTTAAAAGAGTCAGATTGACAAGGTTTGCTATGCTTGGAGATATAGAGCCATGTATGAGATTGTCTTCTAGGTGAAGTTGTAACAAGCTAGAAGGAAGATCACCAATATTATGAGGTAGCTTCCCTCCAAGATTGTTTCCCGCCAATTCCAGGGCTTGCATGTTTGACAAATTCATCAAGGAAGAGAAGAAAGGTTCAAGTTTGGTGTTACCATCATGGCTAACAAAGTCATTATATGATAGGTAGAGGAATTGTAGTTGTGGCCAATTACTTACAATTTCAGATGGTAACTCCCCACTCAACCTATTTGATTCCAGGTCGAGCCACTTTAGTTTTGTGGAGTTTGAAAGAGTAAAAGGAACATGGCCTACAAATTTGTTAGACCAAAGTAAGAGAAACTTAAGCTCTTTGAGGATACACTCATTTCTCAAGGGTATTTGACCTCCCAAGGAATTGTTAGAGAGGTCTATATACCTCAATGTGGAAGACCCATTGCAAAAAAGTGAGGGTGGAATCTCAGCCTCAAGGTGATTACTTCCCATGTTAAGGTAGTACAAGTTGTGAAGTGAACCCAACTCAGAGGGAATTTTACCTTGAAGAAAATTCCCAGATAAACTGAGTTGTTGGAGCTGAATCAAATAGCCCAGTTCTTTTGGAATGTGACCCACAAAAAAATTCTCAGAAAGATCAAGAATTTGCAAGGAAGATAGGTTAGCAAGAGCAGGGGAAATAGTGCCCCCTAGTGAACTTCCATTAAGAGCAAGCTCTATGATCTTGTCACTTGCATTGTTGCATCTGACACCATACCAATTGCAAACATGTACCCCTGGTGACTTCCAACTTTTTAGAACGTTTTTGGGGTCAGAAACAATGTCTGACATGAATAAAGCAAGTGAATTTTTTTCATTCACTAGGGCCATGTTTTCCACCCCATAAACTCTTGAATGAACAATGGTTATAAAGAGAAATAGAAACATTGAAAAAGGAAGCAAACCCATCATGGCATGAATTAATATCGTTTCTCTTCAATTAGTAAATCACATAACCCTGAAGGAAACGTTGAAAATCAAAGAAAAATGCACAGGGATTGGTGTTTGCAAGTTCAATGTAGCTCAATATAAGAAGCCATGAGGACATGAAGGTTAAGAAGAAAGTACTAGTGGCGGAAAAATCTGAACCTTGTTTGTACCTAACTATCTTTGTAGTGGTGGATGTATGTCGTTTGACTTTGAAATTGACCTATCTATGCATTACACGCGGGGTACCTAAGATACAACAACCTAAGCAACGTTAAGGGACGTTTGGCTGTAGTGGAAAACATGTCAGCATGGTAGGCCTAACACTATCCATTTTATTTTATTCATCAACGATAATAACAATAATATTTTGCACTCAGAGATATTATCATTTTCATTTGTTTCTTGGATAGTGTTGAAGTAGTGGAAGCTGTGCTGTTAACAAGGATAATCTTGGTTAATAGGCACGCGCTCACGGGGAACAATGTATGAGTTGATGACACTTTGTGGTTTCGGTATGTTTGTCGGGTGCAAGTGCAAGGACTCGTGTTTTGATTGGAACACTATGTTTTGATGTAAATTGCTGAGTAATGGATGAAATCATGAAAGGACCGAGTTCGAGTTTCACATTGCGGAAATGACCATGAATATGCTTATTGGCTTTTAGGCTATATAAGTAATCGTGCAAGTTATCTAACAGAATGATTAATTCCGAGGGTAAATGTTGTGACCTAGAGGAATTAAACGTGAGATGTGAGTGAACAATCATGTAATCGACACCATTAATATCGCGGACGAAGAGAGTGATTGTTGCGGTAATAACATCAATATTGTTAGCATATTTTTGTATCGGAGAGGTCTCCGAGAATGTAGTAGTGTTTGAAAGATATGATATATATCATTATTGACATTAGAACTATTAAAATGCATATGTGAGGATAACTCGGTTAAGGTTGTTCCATCGTCACAATCATTATAAAGAGTAACGGTTGGAATTCAAGAAAAATTAGAAGGCTTAAACTCATATATTTCTATACCCATGCAATGCGTAAGGTAGCATCTCATGCCAATCTTTGTATGTGACAACCATTTTTTGAATGATCTTCTTGATATTCTTGTTGGCTGCCTCAACTATCGTATTCATTTTTGGCCTATAAGGGGAGGAGTTATGATGTTGAATCTTGAAAGAGTCACATAATTCAGTCATCATCCTGTTGTTGAGGTTGGACCCATTGCCCGTTATAATTTTGTCAGGTATTCCATAATGACATATTATGTTTTTCCTGACGAAATTGACTACTACTTTACAGGTTACATTTGCATATGACATGGCTTCAACCCATTTGGTGAAGTAATCAACGGCCACAAGAATGAATCTATGTCCATTTGAGGCTTTGGGTTCAATGGGTCTAATGACGTCCATGCCCCACATCGAGAAAGGCTAGGGCGAGGCCATTACATTGAGCTCACTTGGTGGGACTTGGATATTATTAGTGTATATCTGGCATTTGTGGCACTTCCTGGCATACGAGATGTAATCCTTCTCCATAGTGTACCAAAAGTATCTTGCCCCTCATGATCTTTCTAGCCATGACCTGTCCAGTTATATGGGTACCGAATGTTCCTTCGCGAACTTTCTTCATTAACGATCGAGACTCCTTCTGACCAATACATCTTAATAGGGTGGAATCAAAACTCTTATTGTACAGAATATTCTCATGTAGTACGAATTTGATAGCCCTTTGTCTGATTGTTTTCTTGTCATTGTCAAATTCCCCGACTGGGTATTTCCTTTCTTTGATGTATTGATAGATGTCGAAATACCAGGGGTGGCCATCCTCCTTTTCCTCTAGTGTACAACAGTGAGCTTGTGTCTCATGTCTTCTAATTCTGATGACCAATATTTCACATCCCTTTTTTTATAGCAAACATAGATGAGAATGTGGGCAGAGCATCTGCTAATTGATTCCCCTTTCTCGGGGTATGCTCGAAGTTAATGGATTCAAATTGGGACACCAGATCCTGAACATATGCTCGATAATGGATTAATTTATGGTCCTTCGTTTCCCATTCATCTCGTATTTGGTATATCCTCAAAGCCGAGTCGTCATAGACTTCTAGTTTGGTGACTTTGTTATCAAGCGTAGCCTGTAGACCCAATATACAAGCTTCGTATTCAGACATGTTGTTGGTGCATTCAAAGTACAACCTTGCCGTCACTGGGATATGTTTTCCTTGGGACGACATCAATATGGCTCTTATTCCATGCCCCATTATATTGGAGGGCCCGTCAAAGAACATCGACCAAGATTCATTTTGACTTTGCTTTTTTGGCTCATCCTTCAAGGTCAATATTTCTTCATCGAGGAATTCTTCCTTGACCATGTGTTCATCCTTGGTTGGTCCGCTTGCTAAGTGGTCGTCCAGAACACTGCCTTTGATTGCCTTTTGCGAGACATATACAATATCATATTCCGATAGCAAAATCTGTCATCTGGCAATCCTCCCAACCAGAACAAACTTTTCAAGTAGGTACTTGATAGGATCTATTTTGGATATTAACTGGGTGATATGTCTCAACATGTACTGTCTTAGCCGCTGGGTGGCCCATACCAAGGCACAACATGTTTTCTCCAAGGGTGAATATCGAGCATCATAATCAGTAAACTTCTTGCTCAAGTAATAGATAGCTCTTTCTTGATTACTAGTCTCGTTTAACTGTCCCAGCATACATCCCATGGAATCTTCCAAAATCATGAGGTATAGAATGAGAGGTTTTCCTTCAATAGGAGGCATCAACATTGGTGGATTGATGAGACATTGCTTAATCTTATTGAAAGTGATTTGGCATTCGTCATTCCATTCCACGGGTTCATTCTTTCGGAGTAGCTTGAAGATGGGAGCGCATGTGTCAGTCTCATGCCAATCTTTGTATGTGACAACCATTTTTTGAATGATCTTCTTGATATTCTTGTTGGCTGCCTCAACTATCGTATTCATTTTTGGCCTATAAGGGGAGGAGTTATGATGTTGAATACGTTCAATCGTTACAAGATAATAAAAGTTTTTAAATATACCTAATGACCAGATCCTCAATGATAACATTTCTTTAACTATAAATATACCTGCATCAGACCTTCATAAGGTACATAACATATACAACATACTCAATCACTTTGAACACTTGTTAACTTAGGCATCGAAGTCCCTTTTACAAGTATAAACCACCTGACACCTGGAAGTTGAGGGTCAAGAAGTCGAGGACTGAGGACTCCCCATTGAAGACTTCTTGCATCCATTTCCTAGTAAGAACATTTGGCGCCCACCATGGGACTATAGAAATTCTTTCCTAGGGACTCTACAAAATTGAGATAATGGGTTGAACAAAAGCTTCACCAAGCAAACATTATGGAATACCTAACAACTCTCAAATGTTAATAGAGTTATAATGACAACTGTAGTAATGGAAGACACAAAGAGAAAAACAATAGAAACTACATGAGGAAAAAATGCCTCTCCTTTGACGACAAAATGTTGAGTAATTGCGACAACTAATTGAATGATCACTATCAAATACCAAGTTGTTAGATTTAGAGCTGACTTGAGAAGATGAATTCCTTTGACTCTTTAGAGGATTCAAATTTTCCTTCTAGAATGTTTTCAACTTAGGTCGTGCATTTTAAAGGATTTGGCCTTTTCTTACATCCAAGCCAACAGAAGCTTGAATGCCCACCTCTTGACAAGTCAAGACTTTAGCACCCCATTTTGTTGTAGTACTAGAGAAATTTTGGAAGCACTCATTCACTGATGAGATCATGGAGGTTCCCCTTCCAAGACGATGGAAGAATTTAGGACTTGACAAGTATGATGGGATCTCTGACCCTAATGAGCATTTTGGAGAAAAGATAAATACTAGAAGGATCAATAAGAGTAATCAATAAACAATATTTTTTTATACTGGTTCACTTCAACCATCGAGGCTTCATCCAATTCTCAATCCAATTAGATTGAGTTCCACTAACTTTTAACAAAGTTACAAGTATTCTTTTACCAAACCACTTCTAGCTCAAACAAGTATTCTTTGATTAGCCTTTTCAAGCTCCTACCCAAATATTCTTTTACAAACAAGCCTTTTCAAGATCAACCTCAAGTATTCTTTTACAAACAAACATCTCCAAGCTCAAACCTAAGTATTCATTTACAGACAAGTCTTTCCAGGAAACACCTTATAATAATGGTTATAAAGGTATTTCAAGGTTGCATTTGTCATTTCTTTTAGACGTGATTACAACAAATCATTTTTGTACAAGAAAACTCTTGAAGAAGACATTATAAAAGTTTTTCTATATTTACACTACTATTCTCTATTGTTCTTCTGAGTTTTAGAGCTTCTTATATAGTAGCTTTGAAAGAGATGATTGTTGTAGCTTCTTAAGTCTGATTCATAGAATTGCTTTGTATTACTCCTTTGTCTGATCTTTAGAAAGGGGAAGTATCCAGTGATGTATTAAATGCTTTAATCAATCTCTTTCATGTAAATGTACTCCTTATCTTTGATAGATCAAGCTACTTGTTAGAGTAGAGTAGCAAAGAGGGAATAGCAGGAAGCAAAGTCAACATGCAAGAAAGAATGTAGTCCTTTTTAGCACCTTTTCTATGAAATCTGTGATCTTTGTCCTTTGTTCTACTACTCTTCATGTTTTTTTTTTATACTTTTTTACAAAATGTGAGTTCCAAGACAACAACTTTCGCTTTGTTAAGGTATAAAGTATTCATTTGAACATTTAAACCCGTCAATCACAATAAATAATGATCGTTAGGAACAGTTTGTATTCTTCATCTGACTAGCTTCGTCTTATATACTTTACTTCATCTTACATAGTATGAAACAACGAGTTTTACAATACATTTTCTTACTAAAAAAATAATGTTTGTTATCATTAAAACTTATAAAATATGAAGGATTTAAAATTGTCTTCTGACTTAACAATCATATTAACTTGTATGTTTCTCAAGTTAGCATGCTCACCAATGCAGATTTCGTCATGTGCAACCTATTCTCCACCTCATTAAAATGTGTTGCTTTAAGGTGGTTTACTTGTCTGCTTTCTTG